GCAGGGCGGTATGCCGCCAAAATGCTGGAAACCCGTGTACGCCCAACTGCCATCTAAGCACTGGTACTGACCACTGCAGTGAGCTTGGAAACACGTCGCAGGGGAGGTATTCGGAGGGGGGGTGGACAAAAGGGGACTACGTAGGAGAGCACAACGCCATGGATCTGAGCCAATCCTCGGTGAAACTCCACCACGCACCATTTCGAGACGCCGCGGCTGGAGGCCTCTCCGCTCGAAACTCGATGTGGATCTTGGCCGGGTGTTACTCGGACCCGCGTGGCGCGTCACTGCGCGGCTCGCTCGATGCTTGAAATTCCTCGGTATAGTTTCGCCCGCGCCAAACGATGCAATCATCAACCTGGCCCGCTCCTTCGCCTCGCTGCCCCTTGGAAGTGCGCAATCGGCCGGGAAGTGAGTGGCGCTCTCCTTGGACAGGTCCGCCGGGATGGCTGCTGAGCCCGCCAGGCTCTGGAGCCAGGCCTTTGCCGCCGCGCGCAAGGCGCCGGGCGCGGCGCGCGGCGGCGGCGGCGGGGACGTCGCTGGAATGGCTCCGCCCGGCGCCGCGGCACCTGGGCGGCCGCCGCCGGGGGCGGTGCTCGGAGGGGCCGCCGCCGACTGCGGCCAGATCTTTGCCGCGTGCTCCTCGGAGCTGGACTGCATGGCCTCCGCGAGGGCCCTGCCCTGGGCCCTCAACTGCCCCCCGTTCTTCGCCTGGCGCGCCCCCATCCGAGGAGTTCGCGTGCTCGAGCGCCCCCCTGGGCCTGGCGCGCTCGACCTCTCTCCACCTCGCTGCCTCGTCGCTCGGGCCCGAGGTCGGGCTGCGAGGCCGACTTCGATCGCGGCGATCATCTCGGCCCTCGCGACCGCTCCCCCAGCGGTGGCCCCAGCCGCGGCGATCGCCGCGTTTGCCCCGGCCACGGCGGTCGTCGCGTCATCGTGACTGTGTCTGGGATATCCTCTGCATCCACAATGACCTTTGCCACCTTCGCCGCAGCTGCTGCCCGTGTTCGGGGGCCCCGCCGTCTGGCGCGAGGCAGGTGGATTCAGCGATCGGATCCGCGATCTGATGCAGCAGCGCGCTTCTTGGACCTCCAGGCTCCGCGGAGACCGATGAATGAGTGCGCGTAGAAGGTGGCGGCTAGCCGGGGGGGGGGGGCATCTCGGGGAGGAGGTCAAGTAGCCAGCGGGAGGCGCGCAAACTTGCAAGCCTCATGGATCGAACCCGCGACGCCGAGCAGGGGCCAGCCGCCCTGTCATTTTTATAAGCCTACCGCGAAATCTTCTCATCATCCAAGAATGTTTTAAGAACACAAACCATGTTCTTAGAACATGAGAGCGACGTGCTAAAACAAGACCGCCCCAGCCAGAAACTTTTATTAGAACATTTCATGCAGACCGCAAAAGGGTCGCATCGCATTCTTTGGCAGGCCGAAGAGGCAAGCCAGGGCGTTTCGCCACTGCTTGACGACGTTCGACATGCCGAGAGATTACATAGATCGGCACAGCCGCGAGGAAGAGCCCCAACATGGGTTTGAACCGTTGCCCGCCCACGTGTTTGCGCGCGGTCGTAGACCCGCCAATCGCGGCTGTCGTTCCTGGGGATGATAGTCGCCGCCGGGCCGACTGCGACCGCTTCTAGATTCGACCATGCAGTCGAGGAGAACGATAATGAGAAGGTTGTTGAAAGCTTTACATCGCACGTGGCGGGTATGATATGTGCCGCACATGCTCTGCAATATGATGCACTCAGGCCTGCAATATCATCAGCATACCGACGGAGTGCAGCGTCGCGCGATTCATGGGGCTGTCGCTGCGAAAAGCCTTCGCGAACAAAACGGGATTGATCATGCTTTGCCCGAAACTCCTGCGAACCAGCTAAAACAATGAGCGCCGCCCCAGATGGCGCGCCACCGATTGGAATTCCTTTTCGCTCGGAGATGACCCCAAGACGCCAATCAGGGACACCCTGCAATGAACCGATGGGGCTAAAGAGACATCCGACACAGCTATGCGTTAGTAGCCCGACGGTGCAGCAGACTCAGACATGGCCAAGGGTTTCACGGATGGGCGGGCCCTCGAGCGCCTACGTTTTCGCGCGCGAAGAGCCTCCGACGGCAATGCTGCCTCGGCAGACTGCTTCAGAAATGGCCATGCAGATGCGGCCTGTTGCGTGGCAGTGTTCACATGCTTGACCAGCACCGCATGACAAGGCTGACCTCCGATATCTCGCAACCGCGTCGACGACGCTGCTGTAGAAGGGCTGCGAGTGGGCGAACACGTAAGGAACGGATGCCGTCTGCTGCTAGCCTGATGTCAAGACATTCGCAGTCTGCCTCCGACAACTTCAAGAACCTCCGAGCTGCGCTCCCAAGAATCCGAAACCCGCGCGCAACAGGTTAACCGACGCGTCGATCACTCTTCTGCAGCGGCTGCGGGCCACCTCCCTGCAAAGCCTATCGCCTGCAATCGAGAAGCACTTCGGCTTTGCGAGTGGGAAGACAATGCGAGGCCGAAGGGTGCGGGGGTATGTGGGAGCTGGGAACGACCGCGGAGCCAGGCAGGAAGACCCGATGCTGCTCTCGCCCGCGCCCATATGCAATCGTCTTCTGCAGACAAATTTGGCCAATGCCTCCACGCTGGGCCCTCTGCGATTGACGAGGGAAGGCATCGAGCCGCATCTGGGCCGTTCGCAGACCAGACGCGGTCAGCACTTTTGTCACCGCCGATGATGACGCACTCATCCGCTTCATGCAGCGCAAAAGGCACGGCTCCAGCTCGCCCCATGCCGGCGGGGGCTCACCCGGCATCGGCCCCGCGAGGCCAGCGTCCTGCTCGGGCCGCGGGGGCCCGGGGCCTGGGGCCGATGCAGCCCGCGAAGAGGAGGGTGAAGTAGACGTCGTGGAGGAGCGCCAGCGTGACGTAGGCGACCGCGTCGCCGAACTTGAACCCTTGCGAAGCCGAGCGATGGCCCAGCTTAGCTGGGTCTGGTGAATCCCAGCGCGCCGGCCCCAGTGGTCGACAATCGGCGCGCATCCAGCCGCCGCAAACTGCGGCATAGACCGACGTGAATGGCGCCAAAGTCCAAGTAGACACCGGAGTCCGTGCTTGAACCGCAAGGAGCGGCACTTACAGGACTGCGCATGCCTGGAAGCTTTAGCGCCTCTAAATGATGCCCAAATCTCGCGCGCATGAAGAACTCGATTGTGCGACTGAAGTAAGTCGGGAGCTAATGTAGCTGGTTGTTGGACGGGCCACCGTGGCGTACGAAAAGGGGTGCGTGGACGAGCAAACCGCGCAAGGAATAAACCGATGCGACAACGTTCCCAAAGCCATAGAGGTCCTACTTCCCTTGCGTCGGCAAAGTGCTGGCGCTGCTGTGCCACGTTGAGATCAGAGACAAGACCCGTGCCTAATGCAACGCTATGTAGGAGATCAGCCATCGCCGTAACCTGTGTCGGGGAACGCTGCGCTGGTACAGTGTCTGGTTGACCCGATTGAAGCCATAGTGACACGCGAACATGTGAAACACGCGGCCGCCTCCACAGTGGATGGCGTCTCCGAGGAATGCGACGGTCACGAAAGCCCTGCAGAGGATGCTCGCCATGACGAGCTTCGTGTCTGGCATCCCGTGAAGGATCTGCTTGGCTACGCGCAAGCTGGAACAGTCGAATCATCATCGCCTCGCAGTGGTAGGCCGCGGCTGATCTCGGAGCGAGCAGCACTGGCGAGACCGCTGAGTCACCGAGGCTCCCTGCGGGGGAGGGCGTGCCCCCCTCAGCTTGGACCCCCCTCTGGGAGACCCGGAGCCACCGGAGGAGCCGCCGCTCCCTCCAGGAAGTGCCGCTCCTCGAGGGAGTGGCCGCCCAAAAGCACTCCACGGGCCTGCCAGGACTCCTCCTCCTCCTCCTCCTCCTCCTCCTCCTCCTCCTCCTCCTCTGTTCCTCCTCCTCCTCCTCCTCCTCCTCCTCCTCTGTTCCTCCTCCTGTGTTCCTCCTCCTGTGTTCTCCTCCTCCTCCTCCTCCTCCTCCTCCTCCTCCTCCTCCTCCTCCTCCTCCTCCTCCTCCCCCTCCTCCTCCTCTCCTCCTCTTCTCCTCCTCTTCTCCTCCTCTTCTCCTCCTCCTCCTCCTCTTTTCCTCCTCCTCCTCCTCCTCCTCCTCCCCCGTCCTCCTCCTCCTCTCCTCCTCCTCCTCCTCCCTCCTCCTCCTCCTCCTCTCCTCCTCCTCCTCCTCCTCCTCCGCCTCCTCCTCCTCCTCCTCCTCCTCCTCCTCCTCCTCCTACTACTCCTCCCCCGACCCCATCGGCTTGGACCCCATCTCATCTGGGAGGCCTAGGTTGGCACTGCCCGAATACCTGGCTCGGCCGCCACAAAACCCACGTCCAGGTCGGCCGCCTGGGCCGCCGCCGGCGCGACGGCGGCGGGGACGAGCGCACAGCGAGACGGACGGGAACGGGGGGGCGATCTTTATTCTTTAGAGTCCTCCTAGATGAGGTCCGAAAAGGAGTCGGAGGATTGCACCGGATCGCCGATGTGTCGCCGATGCATCGGCGATGCATCGACGGTGCAGCGGCGACGTGGGTGATGCACCGGCGACGTCATCGTGGGAAAGTCCGGGCTCCGCATCGAGCCGCTCCGCCGATGCATCGGCGATGCGGGGAGATCTTCCAACCCCATTCACTCCGACCCCATCTGGGAGGCCTCGAAGGGAGAGATCGAATGGATTTCGCTTGGTCGCCAGGGGGCGAACGCACGGCGAGGCGGATGGGAACGGGGGGAGAGAAAACATTCTTCGAGAAGGAGCGTTCTGCCGCATCCTCAAGGGGACCTTGTCCGCCCCGTCGCGGCCCTCTCCGCGTCGAGTCCGTGTCAATTCCATGCTGGCCTCGTCGCATCCGTGTCGAATCCGCGCCGAGCCCGCGTCGGGCACAAGAAAAAGCAAGACCCCCCCAAGGATCCGACGTAAAGGAGGGGTCGGGTGGATTTCGCTCGGTCGCCACGGAACCCGCGCCCAGGTCGGCCGCCTCGGCCGCCGCCGCCGCGGCGACCGAGCCCAGCGCCTCGGCGGTGGGAGGAGCCGCCTCGGCGGCGGGGGCGGCTGCCTTCGCGGCGGCGAACCAGTGCGGGGGGGGAGGAGGAGGGGCGAGGAGGAGGAGGAGGAGGAGGAGGAGGAGGGAGGAGAGGAGGAGGAGGAGGAAAAGAGGAGGAGGAGGAGGAGGAAAAGAGGAGGAGGAGGAGGAGGAAAAAGAGGAGGAGGAGGAGGAAGAGGAGGAGGAGGAGGAGGAAAAAGAGGAGGAGGAGGAGGAGGAGGAAGAGAGAGGAGGGGGAGGAGGAGAGGAGGAGGAGGAGGAGGAGGAGGAGGAGGAGGAGGGAGGAGGAGGAGAGGAGAAGGGGGAGTGAGGAAGGAGGAAGAGGATGAGGAGAGGAGGAGGAGGAGGAGGAGGAGGAGACGAGGGGGGGGGGGGGAGGAGGAGGAGGAGGACATTGCCGTGGAGATTACCTGAGAAGCTCCAGCGCGCTAGCGTCAGCCACACTAAGAAATGACAGCGCGTAAGGCTTCCATTCGCCTTGGTACGGCATTCCTTCGCCCAGGATACATCCTGCAATCAGAAGAACGCCAGCTTCCCAACTTGCCCCCAGTGGGAGGTGCCACAATCAAGTGACGTGCACCTCGTCAGGATCACGACTCACGCAGGTCGCACCTGGGAGGAGCAGAAGAGGGTAACAGGAAGGGCTGCAGAGAGGCAGCAGAAAACCACGCGCGCAGACCTCCTCCCTCACTCACTCACGACGCGCACATGGCGAACCTTCAGGTCCTGACCATTGTCGAGCCGCCCAGATATTGACGCCGCACCGTTGCCGCGCCGCCTCGACGAGCCACCCGAGGTGCACCACTCCCTCGGCCGACCGCTCACCTCCACGCGCGCCACGGAAGGAGACAATGACGGTGGGAAGAATAAGTGAGGATCCGCCCGTGAACCCCACGCACGGGATCCTCGACGCCGCCCGAGCTCTGGTGGCGTACCAGGTGGGCCACCGCAAGGATGTCGCAAACGTGACGACGAGGGAACGCGCCCTTCAATTCCCACGGGCGCCGCGTGCGTGCCGCACCAGCGCACCAGCCCCCGCCCCTGGGCAAAGGAGGTGGACGCGGAAGTGGAGGATGAGGAGGGGGATCGGATAGGATAGGACCGTGGGGCGCCGATCCGTGACAACTCTACTGACTGCAATCTACACTCTGAAAGAGCCTGCCGCAGAAGGGGAGGGGTGGCGTTTGGGTTCTCCGTGCGGAGGGCTATCTTGACACGCCGCCGCGCGCGGATCGGCGCCCGTGTAGGGCCGACACGGGCCTGGCGGCGGGCCCAGCAGGCGCGCAGCCTTGAGGCTGCCGCCCTCGGCACCGCCCCCAGCTACCTGTCTGGGCGGTGCCGCCCCTTTCCCTTGCCTGACGGGCGCGGGCGGGGGAGTGCGATGGCTGGCCCCGCTTCGGGAGCCGAAGGAAAGTACACAGGAGATGGATGAGCAGCAGCAGCAGGCGAGAAGGGAGGAGGCTCAAGGCCAGGAGGAGCAGGGATCGCAGCAGGAAGAAGAGTGAGGGGGGTGGACGCTTCAGCCAGTCCCGAGACCTGCTGCGCAGCCGATTCACTCAGCAACCCTCGGTTCAGGAGCCTCTGAGCGTGGCGACTGGACCTCCAAACAGGGTCCACCCCCAAAGAAACAAAATTGCTGCTTGCACTAGAAGCCTGCTCGACGCTATCTCTTGAACGAGCCTCCAGGTCAGGCGCAAGTCTGGCGGGCCTAGTGGAAGAGAGCCCACGAAGACCTCTGGTGACCCCCATTTCGGAAGCAACTCTAAGTAGCACCTGACCTGGAGTTTCTACAGCAGGGGCCCTCACTGCCTCACAAGATCCTGAAGCCGCTGCCGTCACTGCTACTTCACCAGATCCAGAAGCCTCTGGCTCTCCCTCACGAGAACGCCACGGGGAGCCCCTCCTATCGTTTTCTCTGCGCCCTGCTCCACCAGCGCCTCGCGGATGGCCTTGAGCAGGACCACCCCGTCGTTCGTCGTCGTGTCCAGCAGAAACTGGGTCTTCACCTGCTCGGCCTGCTTGGCGTTCTTGGTCTTGAGCCTCTGCACGCGGCAGTAGCGCACCATCTCGTGGAGCTCGTTCGGCGAGGCGGCCTTCATCACCTTCTGGTCCCAGTAGGTCTTCAGCACCTGGCGGCCAGCCTTCAGCGCGTCCCCCTCGTAGGCCTCGTCCTTGTCCAGGAGTCCGTCGATCAACCCCACGAAGGTTCGGAGAAAGGGGGCGCACATCTTGGGCAGCTCGAGCTGCTCGCCCTTCTTCGCGGGGATGAGGAGGAGGAGGAGGAGGAGGAGGAGGAGGAGGAGGAAGAGGGCAACTGACGCAGGTCGAGGAAGACTCTTTGACTCTGTCTGGGCTGTGCGCCGGAACCCCAAGCGGACACAGCATGATACTATGGAACGCAAGAAGTGACCGTACTCGTCAAGGCGAGCCGCTGCCTGATTCGTCGCGCAGCCCTGTGGGCTTCATCAATGCCCAAGTCTGGCATCTCACAATCGGCAAGCTTTTCCACCATGTGCTCAATGTGAGTGCAAACCGAACTACATGCGGCGAGCTCCGCGCTAGAGCTCGTGGCGCTGCCCACGCCGAAACCGTAGACCATCCAAGGGTACCATTTCGTGCCGAGCTTCACCCATAGAGCCCATGCTGCTGTAGCTGCGCCTTCCCGCCGCCCGCCGTCGAACCTGGCCACAACGTTTGCCTCCGCATGCCCTATCAAGAGCTCCAACGGACTGACGGAGGAGGAGGAGAAGGAATAACGTAGACGATGGAGGCGAGGAGGAAGGAGAGGTGAAGGAGCATAGGAGATGGATGGAGAGGATGGAAGAGGGGGAGGAGGAGGCGAAAGAGGAGGAACGGGATGAGGACGAACAATGGGGGAGAGGCAGTGGAGGAGGAGGAGGAGGAGGAGGAGGAGGAGGGCGACTATCGAGGAAGAGAAGGAGGTGAACAGGAGGTAAGGAGGACGAGGGCGACTATGGAGCGTGGACGATGGAGCAGGGAGGTAAGGAGGTGAAGGAGGAGAGGGAGGAGGATGAGAGGTGAAGGATCGTGGAAGATGGAGGAAGGGAATGGAATCAGGACGAATAGCGGGGAGAGACACTTGAAGAGGGCGAGGAGGGCGACGCATGGAGGAAGTGGAGGAGGAGGAGGAGGAGGATAAGCGTGGACGATGGAGGAAGAAAGCGAGGAAGAGGATAATTAGGATGAGGAGCGTGGAAGATGGAGGAAGGGGAGGGGCATGATGAAGAGGGGGGCGGGGAAGGAGGAACGGGAAATCCGCCGACCCCTTGTGGGTCTCTAGGCGCGTGAGAATATCCTCCCCATAACATAATCCCCCACAAGGGACCCCAAACCGGCTATTTGACCCCCCCTGGCCCAGCGCGACCCCGGACCGAACGCGTCATGGGGGAGCGGAGGGCTCCACAACGGAACGGTCCCAGAAGGTAGCGAAACGCTCCCCAGACGGTCCCGGAGGGCCACGAATCGCCGAAAGATCGCTCCTTGACGCCCACGATGGCCTCCAGACGGCCCCCGAAGCTGCCAACACGCCCCAGAAAGCCGCCAAGATGCGTCCCAAGAGGGCCCCAAGAAACAAAACTCGTCCCATTCCTTTTGCCAAAGGAAAAAAACACTTTTCGCATACTCGCGTTTTCGGCTTTCACAGCGCCCAAAAGGCAAAGAAACATTCAATATCGCTCCCGGACGGCCAAAGGGGCCCCCAAGAGGGGTCAAGGAGTGCCCAAAAACAACCAACGAAGCCCCCAAGACAGCCCAAGAGGGCCCCCAGACGGCTCCAAGAGGGAGTCCAGAGGGCACCTTTTCGAGCCTTCGGCCCCAAGGCGCCCCCAGCCTGCCCAAAGAACGCCCCAAGAGGCCCTGAGGGACCCCCAAGAGAACCTCAAAGGCCTCCAAGAAGCCCCAGGAAGCCCCCAAGAGGCCCCAAAACTTGGCCCAAGATGCCTCGAGGCGGCCGGATATGGCCTGCAGACAAGCCAAGACGCCACCAAAAGGCAACAAAAGAACACCAAGAGGTATGATAACAACAACAAAGCAACAGGAACGATGTCGAGCGCCGTCGGACATGCCTCGTGAAATGCAATCCTAGAGGCGCAATAGTTTCTATAGGGGTCGGCGGATGTGGCGTAAGCCTATAGAGCCCACGTCCGGAAGTGACGTGTTGCCGGAGGCAGGTCGCGCAGCGGAGCGGAAGCCCTAATGCAACAGATCCCGAGCATAATTGCCATGTATCAAATTGTTGCAGAATTGCTACACGTTGCATTGTATTACACCATTATGTATCCCCCCTAACCCCACGCCCAAGGCCACGCCACTTCCGCCGACCAGGGTGGCCCCCCTTACGGTGCCCAAAAAGGCCCACAGACTCAGTCAACATCGACGATTTGGGCCCCTCGGGCCTCTTGGGGGCAAGAGGACCCAAAGACGGCTGAAGATGAGCTCAAGAGGGCCCAAGACGGCCCCGAGGTCCAACATTGTCCCAAGAAAACCCACAATGCCCCCAAGACGGCCCAAGAGGGGCCCAAGAGCGCCCACAAGAGCGCCTCCAAAGCCAAAATCATTGATTTGCCGTTGGTTTTTGTAGGATTTTAGCGTTCTTACCTTGTTCGACTCTCAAACGCCCATGACGGCCCAAGCAGCCTCCAGAATGGCACCAAGACGGCCCAAGAAGCCCCCAAGAGGGCCCCAAGACGGCCCAAGAAGGCTCCAAGACAGCCCAAAGAGGCTCCCAATACGGTCCAAGAGCGCCCCAAGACGGCTCAAGAGGACCCCAAGAGAGCCCCAAGGCTGCCCAAAGAGGCCCCCAAGACGGCCTCCGAAAGGGTCAAACAGCGCAAAAGCGCCCCAAGACGGCCTAAGACGCCCCCAAGAGGCCCCAAGAAGCCCAAAAGAAGCACCCAAGAGGCCCCAAGAAGCCCCCAAGAGGCCCCCCAAAGGCCCCCCAAAGGCTTTCAAAATGCCCCACAACGACTGGACTGCACGTGCTCCGGACGTGCACACCGCGAAGCGAAAGGAATCAAAGGCATTCGTGACCCAAGAGGACCCCCAAGAGCGCCTCCAGAAGCTCGAATCTTTGATTTTCCAATGTTTTTTTTGAAGATTTCAGCGTTCCTCCTATTTCGACTCTCAGAGGTCCAGGACTGCCGAAACAGCCTCCGAAGTGGCCCCCAGACGGCCCAAGAAACGGCCCAAGAGTACCCCAAGACAGTCTCCAAAGGGACCAGACAGCGCAAGAGCGCCCCCAAGACGCCCACACGGGGCTCCGAGAGGCCCCCAAGAGGCCTCCCAGACGCCCCCGCGAGGACCCAAGAGGCCCCAAAGAGGCCTCCAAGGGGCCCCCAAGAAGTTCCCAGAGGCCCGACAACGACTGGACTGTACGTGCTCTGGACGTGCACCCCGCGAAGCGAGAGGAATCAAAGGCATTCGTGAGGTTGATTTTCAAGATCATGATGTCGGTAATCACCGCGCTGAGTTGTTCCAGGAACGAGCGCGAACCACTATCTGAGACGGGCTCAACTATCGCAGGAGCATCGTCAAGAAGGCCTGCCTAAGACCCGCACTCCTCGGACATAAGCTTGTGCAGGTCGTTAATGAGGACATCGGGGGGCCTCTTTGCTGGATGATCGGCCCCAGGGCCTTCTGACTCCACCACAAGAAGAGGGCATCTTGATCGGGTACTCGATCGACTGATCCGCGACATCATTGCCTGTAGCGATATCGGCAGAACAAGCTCCTTCATACAAATCGCGTTGAGCGAATGTGCCACTTCCTTCCTCGCAAGGCGGCTGCACAAGGTCTTCGTTATGCAATGAAAGCCTCATTTGGAAGAATATGCCGATGGTTGATGGCATCACCAAGGTCGTACATCAGGTATAAATGCTAGCCCCCTCCGGATTTCACTGCAGGGGTGGTCGATGCAAAAGGCCCCTCACAGCTCGTAGTATGTGTTGCCTGATTGTAGCGAAAGTTCGTTACACTGAGCGTGATGCGATACTGTGTCCGCATTGTGGCATCCGAAGCAGCATGACTCACAGATTTCCTTCGGGCGTTCTACGATGCGACACGATCCACGATCCCACGAAAGCTTCCAGCACAGCCCCAGCAACCCTGGCTGATGTTGGTGAGGCCGAGGAGGAGGAGGGAGGAGGGCGAACAACGGAGAACGGAGGATGAGAGTAAAGATGAGGCAGATGTGGAGAGAAGGACGGAGGAGCAGGAAGGAACCAAAGAAATGGACGGAAAGAGGTAGGAGGATAGGGAGGGAGGACGTCAGAAAAGAAACCCGAAGCGTCAAGGAAGCGTTCGGCGTGAAAGAGAAGGTTCCATGACGCCGAGGCCTTCCCCAAGAACTGGGCCAGGGCAAGGGCCCCGGAGGCAGAGCAATCTGCGGACACACATAAGGACGTTTGAACAAAGGCAGAAGATCAGGTCGGACAGAATCAGAGGATGGTAAAAAGGATGTGCACGAAGCACTGTCCTGACCCCCACCCCAGCGCTGGAGGCGGCCATCCGTTGGCGGGGCCGAAACCAGCTGCACGCATATAGACATATATGAATAGTTGCATCGACACATCCATACACGCGCACACACATATGTGTATACACATACATACATACATACATACATACATACATACATACATCCACACATACATACGTACACATATATACGTACATACATACATACATACATACATACATACATACATACATACATACATACATATATATACATACATACATACATACATACATACATACAAACATACATACACACATACACACATGCATACATGCATACATATATACATGCATACATGCATACATGCATACATTCATACATGCATACATGCATACATGCATACATGCATACATGCATACATGCACGCACGCACGCATGCATGTATACTTACACACATTACGTGACTCATACATGTACTACATACAAACATACAGACATACGTGCATGCATACCTACACACATCCACCCATACATACATACATACATACATACATACATACATACATACATACATACACATGCATACATACATACATACATACCACAAGCATCCACATCCACGTATATGTTCATGCATTACATAACTATAGATATGAACAAGGTGGTCACGCACATACCTATCTACATGTGCATATCCGACGCCCAGTGGAGGGAATGCACAGACACATCCACGCACGTGCCCGTACATATATTTACATGGATATCTGCATCTACGTACACCTGTCTGTATCTAAAAGTCGGCTGCAAGCCCAGGCAGGCGCGGGCCCTCTCAGGAGGCTCGACGTCCCCTGGCGTTCCGAGAAGTGCCCCAAGCCTTCCCCGAGGACACAGCCATGCCTGTCGGAGGGCGCGAGGGCTTCGGAGAAGTCCAGCCGCCGTCTGAGGAGGCCTCCTCCTCCTCACTTCCTCCCCTCGCCCGCCGCCGATATCAGCCCGCCGTCGCTCGGACGTCCATTCCCCCTGCATGCTTCGTCTTTGTGCGCGCCTCTTCTCGCAAGGTGGCCCGAAAGGCTCCCTGATGGCCCCCGCCGAGAAGAGCTGCGCACGTCCGGGCGATGCCAGGCACCGCTGCGGAGGTCCGAGGGCCTCGGCCCGATCAGCGAGCGCCCCGGGGCGAAGCGCCGCACGAACGCTCCCCGCGCATGCGATGCCTCGACGTCTTCCATCCCGGCCCACGACGGCCCCTCAAACTGGGGCCAAAGACGGGGAACACGAACCCCAAGACGGCCCCAAAATGCCCCAAAAGGGACCGGAGGAGGAGGAGGAGGAGGAGGAGGAGGAGGAGGAGGAGGAGGAGGAGGAGGAGGAGGAGGAGGGGCACGCGAGCCGCGCATCTGGGCCTGCCGCCCCAGGAGGTCGGCGGCGCTCGGGAAGCGCACGACGCTCCAGCACAGCGCCGCCGCGATCCAGGCGGCGGCGGCGGCGAGCCCTCGGCCCCGCCCCGGCAAGGGCGCTGCTCGTCGCACGCGTCCTCCTCGTCGCCACCATCCGCGTCCTCATCCTCGTTCCTGCACCTGTCCTGAGCCGTAGGCTCTCCCAGTTCCTCCTCCTTCTCCTCCTGCCGCGTGTTCCCGCCCCCCCTTTCCCCATCGTTTTGCCCTCATCGGCTCCTTCTTAGGGGAGACCAAGAGGTACAAATACCGCTACTCCCAGGGCCTCTCCAAGGGTGTGTTCTGACCAGGTCTTCGGTGCGTAGCCAGCCATGGCGACGATGGCCTCCCGGGAAGCCCAAACGGCGAAAGCGAGGGATAGGTAGCGGCATTGGTACCTGTTCCTCATGTGACTTCTACAATTACTCAATATGAATATACTCTCCCTCTTCCCCTGATGGCGTCCGGGTGATGGCCGCGCACCCTCCGCGTACTGTTTTTTTACACACAGGATGCCCGGGAAATCCCGGGAAACGACTCTCGCTGAGGCGCCGGCGTCATTTTTTCCCAAAATGCTGCTCTCGTTGAGGCGCCGGCCTCATTTCTGCTCCCGAATCGTTCCGAATCGTGCTCCCGCTGCAGCGTGGGCCTCATTTTCGGATCGGTGTTTGGCCTCCGTCGTTCAGGATGGCGTTCTCGCCCCAGCGCGGGCCTTTTTCTCGCGCGCCCATCCGCCCGCCACCACCGCGCCGCACCGCCACCACCACCACCACCACCACCACCACCACACCACCACCCACCAGCACCACCACCACCACCAGCACCACCACCACCACCACCACCACCACCACCACCACCACCACCACCACCACCACCACCACCACCACACCACCACCACCACCACCACGACAACCACGCACACACGCACGCACGCACGCACGTGCACCACCACCCACTACGCACGCGCGCGCGGAGCCACAGGTCCGCTACGACACGCGTCCGCGGATGGAGAAAATCAGCGCCATGGTAAGGGATGGGAGGGAGGGGTAGGACGTCAGATATGACGCGAGCGCACCTAGCTTGTCCTTCACCTCCTCCTCCTCCTCCTCCTCCTCCTCCCCCCTCCCCCTTCCCTTCCCCTCTCCGCGGCGAGGGGCCGTCCTATGCAGCGCCTGCTCCGGTCGCTGCACTGGCAGGCGCCCCCGGGCGGGGCAGGGCGCGATCCCATGGCGCCAATGAGCACGGGGGGGAGGAGGGGGGGGGGCGGAGAGGGACGACAATGATCATCTGGAAGAGGAGGAGGGAGAGGAGGAGGAGGAGGAGGAGGAGGAGGAGGAGGAGGAGGAGGAGGAGAAGGAGGAGGAGGAGGAGCAGGAGGAGGAGGAGGAGGAACACCGAGGGTAATAATGAGGAAAAGAAAGCGGAGGAGGAGGAGGAGGAGGAGGAGGAATAGGAGGAAGAAGAGGAATAGTCCGACTACTAATAACACGAATAAGAATAACGCGAATAACTCGAACAAGAAAAGCATTACTAATCAGACAAATAAGAACGAGGCGAAGAAGGACACGTGAGGAGGAAGACCGTGGGAGGAGGAGAAAGAAGCAGGAGGAGTCAAGGAGGAGTGACCGTAGCTGGTCGGAGGACTGAAGAAGTGGCGAGGACGATGAAGAGGATGAGGGGGCAGAGAGGAGGGTGAGGGATGAGGAAGCATGGGAGTGGAGCAAGGAGGGGGGATGAGAAAAGCAAGAGAAGAGGGAGGAGAGGCTCGGGCCAGAGGAAATGCGAGCATGACCACGTGCACGGGCTTGTCCTGTTGCCGCTTGCCTTGGCAACTGCATCGTCGCCGCAGTCATCGCTGCCACCGTCGCCATCGCAACCCCGCCGTCATCGTCGTCATTGTCATCGCCTCCGTGTTCGACGTCGCCGTCATTGTCGTCGTCGTAGTCGCCGTCGTCGTCGTCGTCGTCGTCGTCGTCGTCGTCGTCGTCGTCGCCAGCATCGTGCATG